AAAAAAAAAAAAAAAGAAACTCCACACAGAGTAAGTACAAAGAGAGCTACACTGAGACACGACAGAGTCATGTTTACAGGCAACGAGAACCACCTGAAAGGAGTAAGATGAACAAGGACCCCCGACCTACAGGGAACCCCAATACGACGGACAGCTGACCTCACACACAATGGAGACCAGAACATGTGGGATCACATTTCAATGTGCAGAAAGACGAAAGTCAGCCAAGAATCTTACATCCAGCAAAACCATCTTTCAAAAATGAACGTAAAATAAAGAGAATCCCACATAAACTGAAGCCGAGACCATCTGTCGCTAGCGGACCTGCCTTCTGAGAAACTTTAAGGAAGTGTTTTAGGCTGAAAAGGAATGTTACCAGACAATAATCCAAAACAAAACAAGAAGCCTGTTACAGGTAAACATATAGCTAATTACAAAAGATAATTGTAAGAACCTAAGGTCGGGTTGTAACACGTACAGACACAGCCTGCAGAACAGTAACAGCACAGCAAGGGGATGAGAGGGAGGGAGTTACACAGCACGAAGGTCCTACCTTTCTCTGCACCGAAGAGACAGAAACACCTATATCATAAGCCCCACATCAATTGCTAAAGGACATGAAGTGACAAAGGTTCTCTTCATGACCAAACTCTGCTTAACCTCCCCCAGTCCCCATGCAATCTTGTCTGCCTTGCTCCGCGAGCCCCTCAGTTGACTTTTCACATTACCAAAAGCACGAGCAACAAAAGAAAAGAAGCTGGACCTTATAAAAAATGAAAACTTGTGCTTCCAAGGATATCAAAAAAGAAAATAAAAAAAGACGCCACCTCACAGAACTAGAAAAAAAAAATATGCAAACCACGTATATGTGATAGGTGTTTAGCATCCAGGATATAGAAAGAACTCTCACAACTCAACAACAAAACACACAATTTCAAAACGGGCAAAGGACTTGAACAGACATTTCTCCAAAAAAAGATCTACAAATAGACAACAAGCTCATGAAAATATGATCCACATTATTGGCCCTTAGGGAAATGCAAGTCAAAGCCATGAAATACCACCTCACGTCCATCAGAATGGCCGTAATCAAAAACATGGCCAATAACAAGTATTGGTAAGGATTCAGAGAAAGTGAAACCCTCATATGTTACTGAAGAGAATGTAAAACGGCGCAGCCACCGTGTTAAACACAAAGTTCCATAGACCCAGCAATTCCACTCCCAATGTCCACACCAGTATCGTCCACGATGGCCCAAAATTAGAAACCACCTTTCTACCAACTTGGGAACGATGAAGATAACGTGGTGTGGCAGAGTAGCAACCATACAACGGAGTGTTTTCACCCATAAGAAAAATGAAACAAACACACTGCTCTAGAAACAAGGATGAGCCTCAGAAAAAACTACCTGAAAGAAGCCAGACACACAAAGCCACAGCCGGTACTGCACCATATCCGAAAAGTCAGCGCGGTCAAACCTGCACACAACGGATGCCACCCGCAGCGGCCGCTCAGGAGTCCAGACTCAGCCAGGGCAGCGGCCACATTCTCCTCCCTGACACCGGCCCTGGGCGCCAGCATTTGCGTGTCAACCCCGCCCAGGAGCCCCGTGGACACCCACGCACACAAAACGGATTTTGGACACAGCTAGCCGCAGGCAAACAGGAAGTGGACTCGTGGTGGTCAGAATGATTGATAGTAAGTAAGGATTTCTAGGGGCGCCTGGGGGGCTCCGTCGGTCCAGCCTGAGACTTCGGCGCAGGTCTCGAGGTCACGGTTCCAGTTGGAGCCCCGCATGGGGCTCTGTGCTGACAATGCAGAGCCTGCTTGAGAGTCTCTCTCTGCCCCTCCCCCACTTGCGCTTTTTCTCTCTCTCTCAAAAATAAACTTAAAATAACTACACAAACATTAAAAAAATAAGTACAGGGTTTCTTTTTGGGGTGATGAAAATGTTCTGAAATGTGTAGGGACCACCGAACTACGTTGTGAACCTAACACTAAAGAACGCCCACTGAACGGGACACTTCACAGGAGCGAGTTTTGGGACACGTGAATGACACGGTGTTATTCCAACACGGTGTTCGTAAGGGCCAGATCGCGTGTTAAAACGGCAGCTCCGTCCTCAGCAGCTGAGCGTCCCTGGTCGGAACGGAGGTCAGGGCCGTAGGGAAGAACAAACCAGGCTGTTCGCGCTCGCATTCCGCTC